CTTTAATTTGATATATAATATATTTACTATATATTTGATGATTATTTAAAAGGAAATTGTCATTATTTTAGTATTTATTTTTGTTATTGTTGTCTAATGGTAACATAAAAATAAACAATATTTGATAAAAAGATATTAAAAATAATTTCAAACCAAAACATATATTAACTTTGCTTTTAATCAAAAAATTGGTGAAATTTTCAAATAATTCTCAATTTTTTTTGTTGGAACCTCTTTTGAAGAAAAAATGTGTTTTTATGGGAGAGAGTTAACACTAGCTCCCTGTTTTTTTAAAACAAAAATATGGAAACGCCTGATTGTGGGTACAAGTCAAGAACAAAACAATAACGGAAACGTTTTGCCGACAGTGCTATTCAACTCAGAGCAGATTTATGGGAAAACAAGAGACATGTGTCGGGTGCACTAACGCTGCTTGCCCCTACTCTCTTCCAAGCACAATGGTAATGCATTGTTTGAAGTGTTCGAGAACAAAGATTGGTATCTACACACTCAATCCACTCGACAAGAAGAGTCGAATTGTGTGTGATAGTTGCTTCGATGAGGGGTACTTCACTGATGATTTTGGACAAGCGACCTTATCGGCACGTACCTATTTGTCTCAAGGAAACGGGCCAAAGTTGCGTTTGCATTATATCAATGGGTTGGAAGGAGAAAAAAAGTGTAAACCGTCTTATTCTTTTTGTACTTCTTTTTTTTAAGGTGAAGAGGAAAAATAACAACTTATTTAAAAGAAAGAAGTACAAAAAGAATACTTATCTTTCCCAAAGTAATTCATTTGCATTTACATTTATGGTAATTATATTATAGTTTATGTATTTAAAAAAATAGTTTACTAGTTTTTCTCATTTTTTTTTACTAATCATTTCTATTTAAAATGACTAATACTCTTTATAATAAAATGTATTAAAACTACTAATACAATGGAAATGAATTGACGAAATAAATAGACCAGAAAAACGGCAGATACCAACAAATGAAATCGGGAGAGAAAATCATTGGCGGAACTTTAAAGAGAAATGAGAAAAATAATTTCAAAAAATTGAAATAGAAAGAATTGAGGAATGAAAAACAAAAGAAAACAAAGAATGCAAATGACCCAACAGAACAAAAAACAGCTTGTCAAAGTGTTTTTGCTGAAAGACAACGACTGGAAGGACGCGGGGACTGGGAACATCGAGTTTACTGCAAACGACACGGAGATCACCATTTCGATTAAAATGACATCAAAAACATATTAGCTGTCGTGATGATAAAGGAAGACGTGTTTGAGAACAAATGAGAGGGTTGTACAAA